CCCCAAAACCCCAAAACCCCAAAACCCCAAAACCCCATATAAACTCTAAGGCTGAAGCTATAAATAATACAATGATAACCTACACTATTACGCTATTTGGAAGTTGCATAGAGAATCTATCACTTGAAGAAGTAAGAGGAAATCTAGATTTAATACGCGAAATGGATGAATATGACAGTCCAGATTATAAATCCTCTAATTATGATAAAGATGATTATGAAGGCTATACTAAATTCGACTCAATGCCTTATGGATTTGATGGGGATGACATCGGTGAAAAGTTTCGAATCAATGTTGATAAAGATGTCGGCCTTGCAATTGCTAGTGTTTTCACTCTAGGAACAGCTGTTGTTTCTGTAAATAAAGGGTGGACTGCTAAACAATTTGAAACGCTCTGGGAAGAAAGGAGGATCAATTTTTCAAAGAAAACCATCCGAGATTTAAGAACTAGGCTGCACTATCTCGAGGAAATTGAAGAAACTGAGAGGCGTATCAAAAATGAATTAGCTGAAGAGAAGAAAAGACTTGAAAAAGCTAGTGAGGAACTAGCACAGAAGTTAAATAACAGAGAAAATACATCAAATCCAGAGACAAGAAATAGCATTAATGAATTCGAGGATAAAATGAAAGAGGAAAAGGAAAAATTTGCAAAAGATCTAGAAAAAGCTGGAAAAGCCCTCATAGAAGCGAAAAAAGCTCGCGAAAAAGCGGAAGAAGCCAGCAAGAAGGCTGAAGCTGGCTTTGAACAAGAAATAAAAAAAGTCAAAGATTCCACGAAAGCCATTTTCAAAAATGAAATCTCTCAATTAAGAAAAGAAAATGTTGAGCTGAGCGATAAGATAAACACTCAAAATCTAGAACTGAAGAAAAAAATGGAGGAACAAACACAAAAATACGAAAATGAATTAAAAGAGCAAAAAGGCACTTATGAAAAAATAATTGAAGACATGAAAGCCAAGCATGAAAATGATATGCTTGAACTCAGAAATCAACTTGCGGAGGCTGATAAACGTCATCAAGATGAATTAAAAAATTACAAGAAAATTATTGATGATAAAGATAAGAAGATTGAAGACTTGAACAAAAAGGTCGAAACATTCATGAAGGAGCTAGCTAAACAAATAAAAGAGAACAAAAAGCTGCATGAAGAGAGCAAGAAACTGCAAGAAGAGAGCAAGAAATTGCAAGAAGATAACAAGAAGCTGCAAGAAGAGAACAAGAAGGGAAATGAAGAGCTTAATAAAAAGTTTGATCTGATGATGAAGCAGTTTATGAATAAGAATCAAGAGACTAGCAAAGAAATAGCTCCACAAAAATCCAAAGAATCTATTGTTCAAGAAGAACCAAATGCAAAGGAATTAATTGCCTAAAAATCCATTAATCAGGAAATTAATTAATTTTTCAGGAATTAATTAATGAAAAGGGGTTTTGGGGTTTTGGGGTTTTGGGGTTTTGGGGTTTTGGGGTTTTGGGG